CACACACACACACACACACACACACACACACACACACACACACACACACACATACATATATATATCAGGAGTAGATAATAGGGAATATTATCTACTCCTATTACCTACTCCTATTATCTACTCCTGATATATATATATATCAAGAGCTAATAATACCTAGCTTATAGGTATTATTATTATTATTTATTATTATTATAGGTATTATTAGCTCTTGATATATATATATATATATAATATAAATATATAAGCCCTCCTATATATGTCGTTTTTGCTGTCATGAATTAATTGGAATTTGAACATGTCTCGTGAATATTGTATATGTATTTTGTAAAAATGTATTTAATAAATCATTCTATCACTGAGTAAATAATTTCTCATTGGATTCAGTTTGGTGCACGAATGAGAATGTCATTCCAGACGATGCGTTATTCCAATTAATATGAATTAATATCTAATTCAGTGGTACTTTTTTATATACACTCACGACATGTGGGTCTATATGTAAGAGACAAAACAAACGCAAAAATCGATAATTTAGTAGTGCCATATTTATTTTAGACGCGGTATTTTTATGTGACAAATATATTTATTGATTGACCGGAAAGAAAAAAGAAACCATCTTGTATCACTTCAACTTTGAAACGAATGTGCCAAACAAAGTGGTATTTCAATTAACATGAATTAATATCCAAATAAATGGTACCTTTTCTAAGCCCTCACGACTCGAAACATTGATACGGACACTAGTATGTCTGATGTCAATAAACAGCAACACAAATCCGTCAATGAGATATCGTAACTTCTCTTCACAACTCTAAAGTTGTGTTTACACTATTTACTTTTTGTTAGATAATTGACAAGTTTGATGAATATTTTAATTATTCGACCGCAAATCGGCGGTGTAAACGTAAAAGTTTTGCGCACAACTGGTTAATAAAAACTTGTTGGGAGATTAGAACAGGTTCTATTTTCGCAACTCTGTGTCGGCGAATTAATCATGTTTTTGCCATACGGTAACTCAGAGAACAGCAATCAGGTTGACTAAGAGAACAGCAAAAACATGTTTTTGCTGTCGGCGCCACACTGTCGCGAATTAATACGTGAAGAGTGCGTATCCTAGTCGCCCGCGCGCACACTGCGGGTCAAATGTTGAAACGTTTGCCGACGCTTTGAACATATCTGATAGAAACGATAATAGAACGTGAAAAAACCTATCATCTCGTTCGGCTTTTTCATAGTCTAAACCCAGTTTAACACTATACACTAAATACAAATGTACTAAATGCACTATACTACATGATACTAAAAATCACTGTTTACACTATTTTCTTTTTGTTAGATAATAGACAAATTTGATGAATATTTCGATTATTCGACCGCAAATCGGCGGTGTAAACGTAAAAGTCTTGCGCGCAACTGGTTAATAAAAACTTGTTGGGAGCTAGATTAGAACAGCTAGGTTCTATTTTCGCAACTCTGTGTCGGCGAATTAATCATGTTTTTGCCATACGATATAACTCAGAGAACAGCAATCAGGTTGACTAAAGGCCTATTTACACGATGCGTTTTGGACGTACGTCCTAGACGTACGNAGGAGAGATGGTGAGATACTGGGGAGGCTGCATCATCATGATATAGACGAGGAGAGATGGTGAGATACTGGGGAGGCTGCATCATCAGGATATAGACGAGGAGAGATGGTGAGATACTGGGGAGGCTGCATCATCAGGATATAGACGAGGAGTGATGGTGAGATACTGGGGAGAGCTTCATCATCATGATATAGACGAGGAGTGATGGTGAGATACTGGAGAGAGCTTCATCATCATGATATAGAAGAGGAGAGNGATATAGACGAGGAGAGATGGTGAGATACTGGGGAGGCTGCATCATCATGATATGGACGAGGAGAGATGGTGAGATACTGAGAAGGGCTAGGATTTTGCAGATAAGTGTACCTATGCGAGCTATCAGAAAAGATGGTCACCACTATACTGGCCAGAGCTGCCTGCCTGATTTCATAGCAAAGTCTGTGTGCATGAGCTATCAGAACACTGAGTGGGTCACCGCTATACGTTAATGCATATGATGGGAAACGGAGGTAGTAACTGGGACGATGACAAGGCGAGTCTGATCGCAATTTGGCCAGAAGAATCCATCCAGAAGGAATTAAAATGAGACATAAAAACGTACATGATATAAACATTGTTTATACCATAGATATCATATCTATGGGCACAATATCATTTACAATTAGTTCCAGAACAAGTGCTGCAGAGTGACTGCTCAGCTGAGGGATTACCCCTCTTATCTCAATTTTTTCAATAGACATAACACAGATGACACATTTTCTTAAAACAAAATGCAATTACATGTGATTTCCGTACCTATATACCTATGCGTAACTTTGTACCTAAAGAGATTTAGGCTTGTGAATTTCAAAAAGTAATCAGTATATATGCACTTAGTTGAATCACTACCTTTTAATCTATACTCATATATACACTTAAATTCTCGTCACAGCTCAAAAGTGGTTGGTTTGCAAACGGTTCAATAAATGTGGTTTTTACACATCCTTGTAAGCGAGTGTTTACTTTTATAAGATGTTGCACGCAAGCTACCTTGTTAGCTATTTGTTTTGTCTTTCAATTGCGGGTAGTAGTCAATGTAGTCATATTCTCTGAATGGCACTGTAAATTCTAGTAGCCCTGAAAAAGAAGGGTGACATCTCATTGGTTGCAAAGAGATTACATTCTAGCATAATATTGCAGTTTTTTAATGGCTGTATAATAAAATGTTACAATTTTATAATAAATTAAAAAACAGGGTCAATTTGCTACACTGCCAATAAATATCAGACAAAATGTTCATTGGAAGTTTTGCCACCACATCTGAGCAACGCTACAGATGAATTATTTTAAGTGACCATGTTAATCATGCTCTTCTTGTTTGCCAATCACGATTATTATTATTATTTATCGTTACATGGTGCAGTAAGGATCGCGATGAAGTCGACGATTCAAGGACAAATGCTTCTGACCTGAAATGAACCACACTCCACATTTATGTGAGATACTATATGCCTACCATAATCTTTGGCCTTCTCGACAGCAATGAGTAGTTCTCGCTGCTTGCGTTGGCAGAGTCCGGTCTTAGATGGAGGCAACACTTCACCAGTGTAAGGACAGATGAATTGCTCCAAAAGCCGATTATTCTTGATTGAAAAAAAGGCTTCAATATAACTGACGAATGCACTTGGTGTGACTGACTGGTAGCTCTAATCAATCATTGTTGTGATTGGGAATTCTATAAGACGAGGCACGCCAAAAAAGTGCTGCAGAGGTGGCAATTCAGCATGCACACGTGAAAACATGCATAAAAAGGTAGAGATTGCTGGCCTTTGCTCTAATGACAAATTTATGTTAAAGTGAATTTAAGCTTGAGAAGCATAACTTACTGTATAGTGAAGCACTAAGAACTCATCTCTACACGCCGGACAAGGATTTCCTGTTGTGATTCCCTTCCCTCTCTGAAATTTTTGTTAAACACAAATTATCAACATAATATGATTTATATGAACATTAATATGATTAACAAATATATACTATATAGAAAACAGTTGAACAGAATTATAAGGCAGAGATTCAAAGATATTAATGATTCGACTTATTAATGTAAATAAAGCTTCCTTTTGGATTATTGTGCCAAGAATTTATTTGGCTTAACTACTCAAAATTCGACAGGATTGCAATTACATGTCATAATTGGATGAGTTAAGAATAACATGATATCAGCATACAATGCATGTCTGTCTTGTTTTGGATGGAGGAATATGCCCTTTGTGATTTCTTCTGTAGCTTTTCCACACAGGATCACAACCATATGTATCAGTGTATGCTGAAAAATAGCCATGTACGATTGTACGTGTACTAGTACCAAGGTTCCCTATAATATATTGTTTTAGAATGAAGAAGTATGTATCTGCATTGTTCCCTCCAGGCCTTGAAGGCATGTCGAGGCCAACCTGTCTTCAAGTTGAAGCTAGCAAAAGAAAAATCCTAGCAAATTTCCTCTTAACATTACGTGATGCTAGACCCTATCGTAACTTTAAACCCAATATGAAAATAACACAACTACATTAAGAACTGAAATTCATATTGATTACTAAAATCTGTTTTTCATGGAAAGACATCAGAAACATTACTACCTATTATGTACCAAAACAAACAATTATGATTGGCAATAGTTCTCTTGTGTCATATATTTTGATGAATCACGACACTCCCGTTTTGTGTTGCTGTGCAAAATAAGAACATACTCATAGCATTTCTTCATCACTTATTATTTATATGTAATTAGTTTAGTTTTAGTTAATTAAATTTAGTTTAAGTACTATCTTAGCATTAACATTATCCTTAACCTAACGATGCTTCTGACAACAGGCCTCAGTTTGGTGTTCATATATTATTTGTATCATGTTTTCTAACATTAGCTCAAATCTCTAATAGTAATAACCTTTGCTTTTCATATATCGTATGCTTGTTTCTGGTGCGACAATGCGTGACCTATCCTTAGGATCCAGAGCTCGTTCAGTTTCTCCTATCTGCTGCTGGGGAATCGGTTCCACTTCCTCAGCTTCAGCATCATCCTCTTCTGTTTCTGTACTGATTAACCTGGATTGTGTCAGTGCTAACACTCGCAGGCCCTGCGACAAGTCAAATGTAGTGTCAGTTAGAAATATCTTTATATAACAGCTGTAGATAAGTATAAAAGCAGACATACAAGGTCACGATATTGCATTTATAACAGCTGTAGATAAGTATAAAAGCAGACATACAAGGTCACGATATTGCATTTATAACAGCTGTAGATAAGTATAAAAGCAGACATACAAGGTCACGATATTGCATTTATAACA